AATAATAATAATAATAATAATAATAATAATAATAAGCGATAATTAGATGATAGATACAAGCCGGATCATAGCCTGGCTCAGGCATTAATGATATTGCTACACCACTCGGTTCGGAGCAAAACTTTCCTCCGCGAATGGGAATCGAACCCGCGACGTTCCATTCACCGATCGGGGCTCTACCTCTGACCTATCGGGGAAACTGTTCAGTATCCGCTGAATGGTTGTGTTAAGATCGCGATCAGTTCTTCAGTGCGCATAATGCGAAAGTGATCCGATGAGCGTGAAACGCTACAATCAGAGCGAACTGATCTGTCCGCGATCACGATAACATAAAAAATAATGACAAATAATTAGGTAATAGATACAGGCCGGATAATAGCAATGATAATAATAGAAAAAGTAGTATCATCCAAAAAGGATGCTAATTTATGACCGAAAATAGCGGTAGTAATTTGCAGATTAGTAGCATTTGTGCGCAGAGACGTTTATTACTGACCGGAACGCCGATTCAGAACGATCTGAATGAATTTTTCTCGTTGGTCGATCTCGTGAAACCGGGGAAATTTGAAAATTTTAGCGAATTTAAAAATTTAGTCGACGATGAAAATAAGGTTCGTTTGACTTTTTTCTCTTATTCACTTTAATAAGTCTGTGGATATTGTCGTTATCGATATACTGTGTACATATTATTCATTTGTTTATTTATTTATTTGTTTGTTCCTGTTTTTTTATTATTTTTAGATGTAATCCAACAAAAACTTAGGTGGTGACGAGGATGATAATAGTACGAATAATAACATTACTAATTATCGTGATAATAAAGTCATAATAATACCAATGATAATAATAATAATAATAATAATAATAATAATTATTATTATTATTATTATTATTATTATTATTATTATGGTTCAAAGAATAATGCCAGCTTTTTGTTAAGGAAGCTGATCTTCAAACGTTTTTATCAGATTTGATGTTGCGACGTACATCTGATGTGATATCCAGCTATCTCCCTCCAAAACGTAATAATGTGAAATTTTTTTTCTCCGATTCATTTATACATTTTCAGTATGATTTATTTAGGTATGTTGATGAAGTGATCAATTCACTAAACATATTACATTTCGAAGAAAAAGAATTCTTTTAGATGAATATATTATGTGGTGTCGTCTATCGCAAATTCAACAAACAATTTATGAACGAATTCTCGAAATTGATTCATCAGAGCATTTGCAATTGATCGACATGTTACGAAAACTTTGTAATCACCCATCAATTTTGTATCAGAGCTTAATTTCGAAGAGACAACATCGCTCGAATGTTAGACATATATTTCATTTTCTTGGTCACTTTTCAGTATTTAGTTCGATTGTTCATTTACGATTAGTGTTGTTGTTTATGGTAGTGCTTGTTGTATTATTATTGTTGGTTGTTGTTAAGTAAAAAGGTTTTTTCAGCAGTCAAATGAATATGATCTCAATGAACGGGTTTTGAGAATGTTCCCAACGCATTTTGAGGCACAGAACTGTTCGATTGGTGATTCAGGTTTGACTTTTCAAATTGTAATTCATTATTATTGTTATTATCATTACTATTATTATTATTACTGTTATTAAAATCGTTTTATTTGTACAGGAAAATTACGAGTTTTCATTGAAATTATGGTTTCATTACGTGAAAAGAATGAAAAAGTAGTGATCGTCTCGAATTTTACGAAGGTAATTGTTGAATAATTGGATGATTAATAGTTGTTGTATGGTTTCATTTTATCAATGCACGAAACATTCATATTGTTTCTTATCATACTTCATTCTTTTGTTTATTGTTTTTATTTATCGTTTATGCAGTCATATGTTGATTTTTTTTAAAAAGTTCATTTGATTTTGGCATTAATCTATTTATAGACTTTGGACATGTTAGAGGAACTTTGTAAAGGACTATTCTTTAGTACGATCCGTTTAGATGGTTCTGTGATGGCAAACAAACGACTAAATCTTGTAAATGATTTCAATAATTCTTCTGATAATAGTCAAGTGTTCTTGTTAAGCACTAAAGCTGGTTAGTGAACTTTTATTAATATTGTTATTTATATGATTTGTTATTGTTATCGGTATTGCTGTTATAATTACAATATTAGTTTGTTATTTTAAGGTGGCGTTGGACTAAATTTAATAGGCGCCAGCCGGTTGATACTGTTCGATTCAGACTGGAATCCGGCACATGACGTTCAGGCAATGGCACGTATATGGAGAGATGGACAAAAAAGACCGTGCTTCATTTATCGTCTTGTTACGACGGTTATTTTTATATTGATAATGTTTATCATTGGTGTTTTTTGAGTGCTTCATAATATTATCACTATTTATTATTATCGTTTTTATTGTCATTATTATTATGACTGTTGTTTTGAATTAAGGGAACAATTGATGAGAAAATACTGCAAAGACAAGTGAAAAAGAGTGGTTTAAGTAGTGTGGTGGAATTGGATTCACTCAGTGAACGTTAGTTATTGGTTTATTATTGTTTGTTATGGCTTATTCTTATAGTGACTAGTTGTATTACAGCAGTGACTGCATTCGCAGAAGAGGATTTGCGTGATATATTCAGTTTGGATAGCGAATGTGAATGTGCAACACATGAGCTGATGGCGTGTTCTTGTGGTGGCGATGGCTCATTGGAAGTGGAGAGGAATTTGACGTTGAATGGCGATGACGATGATTTTGAGAAGGCTGACGGTGACGGTAATAGCATGCGAACGGATATCACTGATAATGATAGTAGCAATGATAATAGTTCGAAGAAGGATAAAGAAAACGATAAAACAACCGATGAACCGTCAACACATAAACATCACGGTATTGAGTCCTCATCTGCTGATGTTGTTGAAAGTGATGTTGAACGAAATAATGCGATGGTTTCGAGTATGGATTGTGATAATATCGGTGATAATACTGGTGATAATTTGGTGAATAAGTGTACATTGTCACCATCATCATCGTCAATTTTCGATGATATTGAACAGAGTTATACAAATGAACAACACCAAAAAGGTCAGTCAATAATAACATCAACAACTACAACACAGCCGCAACAATTTGACAGTATAGTGAACAGGTGAGATCTTTTACTTTTCTAAACTCATAGTATTATAATTGCAGTAACTTATTATAAACGCTTGATAGCCTGGCCAATCCAGGTAGTAACTTATAATGTTGTTTCAGTAATAGTAATAATAGCGACTGTAGTGAATCATCTGCTGCTAAGGCTAACACAGTGGGATCGTCACTTGCAAAAAATTCGAATCCTGCTACGATCACCGAAAAGTCACTTTCAGCGGTCAGATAAATAATAACACTTTGTTTTGTTTTGTGTGTGTTTTTCTAACGATAAGTCAATGAACGCAATTAAGAATATTTTGAATAATTATCAGTGAAATTAGAAATGAATTATTCAAAATATCGCTGATATTTGTGATGATTTATTTTTGAATATTTTTGTTTTAATCATTTAGTTGTTGTTTTATGAAAAAATAAGTTATTACAATTTATAGAGTATTTTGATGGGTGCGCTGATGCGTTGGCGACATTTTTCACCACAGTGTCTACAGAAGTTTGACGAAATGAAGAGTGAGGCTGGACTGAAGAATGCTTCATGTGGTAGCGTTACTTTTGTGATGAAACTGACCTCGAACTTTTAGTTATGATTATGGTTATTATCATTATTATCATCATAATTATTACTACTGTTGTTTACAAATGATGATCAATACTTACGTGTGAATCAATCTCATAGTTTTGTTGCACATTACTTTGGTGCTATCATTCGTTGTCGTTCAACAAATATCCATCTGTCCATTCCGGTTCTCAGTTGAATTTTATGCAGATCTGTTTCCAGTTGTTTGGTGACATGTGAAAAATTCAATGATGCCTCTGTTGTTGCATTCACTAATTCTGAACTATTTCTGTTATTGTCAGTATGGCGATGCATTTTTCAAAATAAGACTTTGATGTTATTGTTAACATTGATGTTTACTGTATTATTGTTGTTATTTTATCACTCACTATTATTGAAACAATTATTTGTTGATGTTATAGGACGATTGGTTCGTGTATGTATATCTGTATTGTGTATCACTGCTTGAGAAAATAAATATTTTTTTATGTTTGTATTTTAGTGTTGCTTCTCGTCAGATAGTATATAAAACTGGTTAGTTCATATAACCAATTGTAAAACTGAGTACATGATATTTTGATGGTTTATAACGGAATTTTTAATTTTTTTTCTATCAGTTCCCAAGAAAGATGTGCGTAATAAAATGATGACGAAATTCAAACTGTGCGTCATTTGCATTTAAATTTCAGAATACGAGCAACAGTGAACTGAAACAAAATCAAATTTTGGCACGTTGCAAACGTCGAATAATTCGTTCTCGGTTTCAGAGTTGTCTCAATATTATATTTGTCCAATTTTTGCATCGTTCCGTGGTGCTTGCAAAGGTTCATTTGGCTTTTCTTTCAGTTTTCTATGGCGTTAATCATCAGCATTAGTGTTCTGAAAAGGGTCTCCTTAAAATATTAACATTAGCACATTCTGGATAGCGCCGCAGAGATTCGTGGAGTTGGTTGACGAATTAATTTTTAAAGACTTTTCTGTCTATTTTCATGAAATTGGATGTAGTTTGGTTGGTTGAATGAAATGTTGGACTGATTCATCAGTGATTGTTCGTTCTTTTATGATCAGAAATGATAAGAATTCGCTTTATTCGAACTGATAAATGTGATTTGGGAAGTGTGTTGAGTTGGTAATGTGATGTAATCGAATGACTGCTGATGAGTTTTTGTTTGTTTTTATAAAACGACAAACGTACATACGTATGACTAACACAATACCCAACTTTGCTACTGCCACTAACTGGTTTAATCACGATACAATCAATTAGTTACTGTTGTTTGATGATGATGATGATGTTATTTGACGACTTATGAACGAAATGCTTATTGCTCTTTCCGTTACTCGTTCCATTCGTTTCCGTCGAATTTAATGCTAGTGTGTTAGCTTTTGTTATCACTTACTTATCGGATCTTTTCCGGAAATCACGTTGAACCGGCTCTGAGAATTACATTGAACTATTTGGATTGTGTCGTTCAAAATTTTAGTTGTTTGATGCTTCGTTTTGAAACAAATCATCATTTAGATTTTTGATTGTTTTTTTTAGTTTTGATTATAGTAATAAGTGGCATTATGATAAGTTCAAAACAGCTAGTATGGGGAAAGATCTGATTTAAACATAAATCAGTTTTCAGCGTTTATTTTCATTCGTTAAGAATGTTTCCTGTTCTATTTTTAAAACTAGGCTTGAATTTTATTTTTTTTACATTACAGGTTAGTACAGGAATTTTTGTTTCAGTTCTCGAAGAGATCTGACTCATTTGTTGCTGCGTAATACGTGTCAATGGTTGACAGATTGAGTAAGTCATGTTGTTGGATAAAAATTATTTATGAAATTTGAAGTTTTTGTGCTATTATTGTTATTTTTCAATATGTCATGATAATGAATGTAGAATTTTGTTGCATTTTTATTATTGTCGGTTGCAGTGAATAGTGAGGTGAACGCCAGACGAGTGGCGAATGTGGAGGCTTGTTTTGGAAGTAGTGGACAACCGCTAGCTGCATATGGTCGTGTTTTGGTGGGTGAGGGCGTTCTTGTGAAAATGTGTAGGTGAGTCACATTGATAATGGAATTATGTTGATAACAGTACAGTGCAGTGATGATAATGATAATCATAATAACAGTTACGACAAAATAGTAATGAAGATGACAGTATTAATAATAATTTGTTGCAGAAAGAAACCGAAACCAAGGCAGTTCTTTTTATTCAACGATATTCTTATCTACGGAAATATCTTAATTTCGAAACGTCGTTACAATAAACAGCACATTATACCGTTGGAAGAGGTTCAGTTGCAAGATTTAGAAGATGATGGTGGTTTGTTGCTTGTATATTCTGTTGTTATCAGTGCCGTTTTATTATTATTATTATTATTATTATTATTATCATTGTTAGTAGTAATATTATTATTGTTATTGGTATTATCAATTGATCAGTATTACCTGTCGAACTGAAAGGAAAACAGTTCAGATATGCGTAATGGATGGCTTGTGAAGACACGCGCTAAATCGTTTGCTGTATATGCGGCGACGAATACAGAAAAAAAAGAATGGATGTTGCATATTGAACGTTGTGTGCACGATATACTCACAAAAGGTATATGGTTTCTCAAGTTAGCAACAAATATTTCAGAGTTATGTTGTTAATGCTGTTTTTATTAATTGTTGTTCTTACTGAACCATAATCCAAAAAGGATTTTTGTGTATTGAGGAGGCAAAAAAGCAGCAACTGAGCACGCAGCAGTGTGGATACCGGACGGTGAAGCGCAGAAGTGTATGGCTTGTCAGAGAACGCAATTCACGATGATACAACGTAGAGTAGGTGTTATTTTTTATTTTCCGTTTGTTTATTTGTTGCTTGGTGATTTGAAATTAGACGGAGAATTTCTAAGTTGAACATGTTGCAGCATCATTGTCGTGCATGCGGTAGTGTCGTATGTGCATCATGCTCAACGCATAATTATCGTATCGCAGGTCTTGGCAAACGACCGGTGCGTGTTTGTGATAAGGTTAGAATTTATTATCACCATTATTTTTCAGTGAAAACTTCTTCTAACGATATTCATCTCAGAACAAATTTAGTGTTTTGCGAGTTTCACGCTGAGTGGTATGAGCGGTGTAGCAGACGATGGTGATGGTATAGGTGAAAGTAATAATACGAATAAACGAGAGACAAATCTGGGTGGTGCGAATGGCGGCAGTAACAATAATGAATCGAGTGAATCGGACGATGATGAGAAGAATACGAATTACGATCATCAGGTTAGTCGAGGATGGTTTTCAATTGAATGTTAATAAAGACGGTGATTAAATAATGAAGAACGCAAGTAAATGGAAACAATAGATAGAAATAACAATTACAGCCGACATTCTACAGTCCAACGACAGAGTTGTCGAGTGTTGGTGCAGAAAGGCTTGACATCGGACTTGCACGTGCAGAAGCTGGAGTTGGTTCAGCGGCAACGACAATAACATTCGGTGACAATAATGAGACGAGATCGATTCCATTCGCACCTGGAAGTGAAACTCAACAGCAGATGCATACTCATGTTCCTGCACATCAACAAAAACAATTCAGCACTGCAGCTAATAGCGCGACAACAGATCTTCTTTGGCATACGCAAAGCTGAATGCAACGAATGTTGAAAGATCGTCGTTAAAGAGTTATCTTTAACTTTTGATGATTTTTTTAGCGATGAGAAATTTTTATTATTTCATTTTATATGACCCATTTCTAAGCTACCTTCCTTTTTTAAGTTACATTCTTTGTTAGCTTGTCTTGTTGTTATTATTCATGTGTCTTATTTAATTCGATTTAACTGATTGTGATTCAGTTTCTTTTTTTTTGGTTTGATGAGTGGATGAATGGAAAGGAAAGATATCGGCTCGTTTCTGGTTTGGATTATTTTTGAATTGTTCAGTTATTTGTTCATTCGTTCGTTCATTTATCTTGTTGTTTTAGTTTGTTGTTTTTGAGTTGTTTTTTTTTTGTGATGAAGAAAACCTTTCTTTCGCTATTTCTGTCGTTCACTTACAAATATCATCCCCCAATTGAAAATCAGTCGATCAGTGTATTTATTTAGATAATCATTTCATTTATTCGATTGTTCATCTCATCCTGTGTATATGTATGTACATTTGTGTGTGCGTGATTTTTAACTTTCTTCTCTTGATGGTTACCTGCAGTTGGTTGCAGTTTTGCTGCTTTTTGTTCATTTGGTGCCGTTTGTTCATCTAAACGGCATATTTTGTCATCGTCTCTCTCCTTTCCTTCTTCATCTTCTTTATTATTATTGTTATTATTATTCTTTTATTATTATTATTATTATTATTATTATTATTATTATTATTGTCATTATTATCTTTGTTATTGGTGTTTTTAATTGTTTTAACTGATTTAGTTCAAATTGAGTTGTGCGTCTTTGGGAAACAGTTATATCTCAGTCGACCGATATGTTTATGTTGATACTGCTCAATGAGACTACAGTTCACTTCAAAAAATTATTGTGTTATGCATTATGTTTATTATTTTTATTGTTATTACTGTTATCATTTTTATTATTATTTTGTGAATTGCATTAGTGTTCAAATGGTCACAATGAGTACTGATGAACAAGAAAAGGAAGAACAAGAACGATTCGTGATATTATAATATGTATTAAAAGTGTTTTTAAGTGGGTAACTATTGTCTTATGATAATGATGAAAGTGTTATTGGAATAGACTTTGATTCGTTTATTTGTTTGTTTATTAAGTATCTGTTTATTCGAGCTGCAGTTTTATTCCCATATACGTGTTTGTAACTCTTTACAAATGTATGTGCAGAGTAAGTTTATACGAAAACCTTTTGGTGACATTTATGACTTTTGGTTTCAAAATAACCGTGCTGGCAGTTCATCACTATCAGAATACCTTATTGTTGCAATTCTTTTGTATGCACATAGTGACATGATTCTTACTTTCCTATCACCGCCTCCCCCCCATCCCTCTCGGTTACTCGGTTAAATGACACTCGTCCGTGTTCTTCAAAGATGCGCTCAGCATTTACAGTCGTTCATCAGTTCATTTGTTATACCAGAAACACAACGATACCTTATATGTATATGTATTTATTTGTACGTACGTATCATTTAGAGGAAGTTACGTAATATTCAATTTGTTTTCCGGAATAAATGGATTTTAATTAATTTATTTATTCAAACATATTTGGAATATATTAGTAAAATATGGTATATGGAGTGCGTTAATGAATAGGATGTGAATGGAAATGTAATCGGAGTGTAGTATTTATTTTGAAGAGATGAAGTTGCCAGTTGAAATCTTTTAGACAACTGAAATATTATATCATCAAGTGATGTCGTCACTATCATTCTCGTCGTTTTTTTTTTAAAGACTGGTTGGTGGTTTCGTTTGTTCGAATGGGTTTCGTTGAAAATTTCATTTCTTCAACATTTTATGCGTTCAGAACAGGGATTCTCATCAGAGGGGGATATTACCTGTTTGGGGGTAATTTGGAGGAGTCAAGGAGGTATAATGGACGAAATCGGGAAATCTGTATTTCGTGCAGTTGTTTTATTATGATGGAACGCCACTGCGGTAGTGTTTTTTCATGTGGGTATGTATACGCGATTCGCACTCACGGCAACACTTCTTTCTCGTGTTTCATGAGTATCATTAGCTCGTTGGGGCCTAAACAAAAGTCATTTTAAAGTAGTGGCAAGTATTGTGCAGTGAATGAAGTCAACAGCATTTGGCCTGTTTTCATTTGAACTTGATGAATCGACAGATATGTCGTCACAGTTGCTAGTGTTCACGAAATGTTTTCCCAAACAGAATCGAAGAATTTCTGTGTTGCTTAAGGTTGGAGATAAACACCAAAGCTGCAGATATTCTAGAAAAAGTCTCTCTCGTGAAACAGCGTTCTCCAACTGTGAAACGAGTGAATGCAGTGTATAATCCATAGTCGGGCGTTAACCTCAAAAGCACTACCTCGTAGAATCGAACAAGTTTCGAATCGAATTATGCAAAAGATAAATTACGTTAAGGGTTTAGCTCTTAATCCACGTCTTTTCAAAATGATCCGTGACGATATAAATGTCAATCAGCAACAGTTTCACGCAAATGCTCGATGATTACCTCGAAAACGTGTCGCTGAGCATGTCTTCGATCTCAGGAATGAATTGAACGTGTTGTTCGAGGCTCAGAATAAACCAGAGTTCCAGGGATTTTTGAAAGATGACGAATCATTGATGCATCTTGCATATTTATTAGACATACTTGTATAGCTGAACTCAATATATAGATGCAAGGGAATAACAGAAATATAATGAAGTTTATTAATTGTTTGAAGGCTTTTATGAGTAAGTTTGAGAAATGGATAAGGAAGGCAGGGATGAACAGTGTTCTAAAGACTTTCAGTAGCTCTGGATGATGGAATTAAATACGGATGTTACCAGAAGCATAGAAAACTGAAATTTTAGATCATCTCACACTACTGGAGAATGAATTCAGGACACTTTTTTGAATTGAACGATGATAATTTGAATTAAGTGAGGAATCCATTCGAAACGTCCGTGGAAAAAGTCTCTGTTGATATACAAAACGAACTTTTGGAACCTCAGAATGGTTCGAACGCGAGGGATGTTTTTGACGAGAAGCTTTTGTCAGAGTTCTGGCCACTGATGATTAGATCATATCCGAGAAGGCTATATGGGTTCTGCTACTGTTTATGTCAACCGATTTACGCAAATCCAGATTTCCTGCAGTGTTACTTTTGAAAGCAAAACATCGATCTGGATTGGTGACTGAAAGCGATTTGCGTCGCTCTCTTCGAAACGCACCCCGACGCATCCCAAAGCCGGTCAATGAAGTATGCTCTCCTTCTTGCTCCGTTGGGCACGAACTTGAATTCACTTTCGGAACCGTTTTTGTAATATGCTCATATTCACTTCGTTGGATTAATCAGTCATGACTTTTAGTCGTTAATGTGACCGAATGATTAATTTGTGACCGAATAACCGAATGAAAATAAGTTCACAGTTATTTTTATTTATACTTCAAGACTCATGAGTTTCAAATCGTTTGACAATTCTTACTTCAATTAAATTTTTCATCGAGTTCACATGACTGATTTTGTGTTTTCTGTAATACTTTTCATGATGTGTTTTTCATTTGATGAGATGGGGAATTTTTACAGTTTCTACTGCATTCGCTTATAAAGTATTTTCAATCGGTATAATACATGAAAAGTAGTGACGAATGACAATATTTCTTATGCTACTGAAGTGCTTAAAAAATAAAATGGGAATTTCAGACTTTATGCGCTTGTTGTATCTCACAATTAGTGTGCTGCTGGACGGAAAAATGGTCGGGAATGGAGAACCTGGGACGAAGTCCCGGAATATCCCGTTCTCCGCAACACACCATTCAAAACCTATGATAGTTCGGATTTATTTTCACCGACAGATGAATTTCTACTTATTCCTTAACTATCGCTTTGACGGAACGATTGCTTTTCTGTTCGTTTCGAAGATACTTTCTCAAATTTCCATTTTGTCTTCCGTTTTTGTGAATAAACGAACGTTTTAATGTATTTCATTTTTTTCATCGCTGACAAATTTTTTCACTGTTTTTCGTTGTCACTTGCTGAGGTTCGTATTATTTGCGCAACTGATGAATAGAGTTCTAAAAATATTTGTCTCATTCCGGATAATTAATTTCTTTCATGCCATCGAGGAATTTCCGGGCTGGTTTTCCATGTGCTTTTATCATTATACGTGAAAATAATAAGTTTTTGAAGTGGGAGGGAAGAGGGGGTAATGACGGCCTGCCAGACCATCGAAGGGGCAATGGAACACTCCCTTCGATGGTCTGGCAGATGACAACCACTGGTATAGAAAGAAACGTTTTGCATTGGGATGTCTAGATTTTAGGGACACCTATATTATATTATATTATATTATATTATATTATATTATATTATAGTATATTATATTATATTATATTATATTATATTATATTATA